GTGGCTTGGTGGTTGAGCATTGACTGATGAACTGGGAGGTCATGGTTTGTTCCTGTCAGGGCACATGCCTGGGTTTCAGGCTTGGTCCCCAGTGTGGGGTGTGCAGGAGGCAGTCAATTAATTATTCCCTCTCATCACTGATGTTTGTATCTCTCTCCCTCTCCCTTCCTCTCTGAAATCAATACAAATATATTTTAAAAAGTAAAAAGTAGCCGAAACCGGTTTGGCTCAGTGGATAGAGCGTCGGCCTGCGGACTGAAAGGTCCCGGGTTCAATTCCGGTCAAGGGCATGTACCTGGGTTGCGGGCACATCCCCAGTGGGAGATGTGCAGGAGGCGGCTGATCGATGTTTCTCTCTCATTGATGTTTCTAACTCTCTATCTCTCTCCCTTCCTCTCTGTAAAAAATCAATAAAATATATATATATAAAAAAAGTAAAAAGTAATGGAAGCCATAGCCATAGAAGTGATTACTTTGAGAATATATATATATATATATATATATATATATAGAGAGAGAGAGAGAGAGAGAGAGAGAGAGAGAGAGAGAGAGATAATAAGAGGAAAAAAGAAAAAGAATTCTTGGAGAAAAGGGGTATTTAAGGGGCATTTAAGTGAATGTTGCAGAGATGAGCAGTGGAAATCAAGGGGCCTGCGTGTTATCAGGAACGGCTGAACCTATGAGGCGGGAATCTCATCTGCCTTATAACATTGACAATATTCCTTATGCTGTACTTTACATCCCAGTGACTGTTCAGACTTTCTGCTTCATGATTCAGTTTTGGAAGGTTGTAAGTCCTAGGAATTTATCCATTTTTTTCAGATTATCCAATTAGTTGGCATATACTTGTTTGTAATATTTTCTTATAATCTTTTGTATCTCTGTAGTGCAATTTGTTACTTTTCTTTTATTTCTGATTTTATTTATTTGGGTACTTTCTCTTATTTTCTAGATAAGTCTGTTTAAAATGTTTATCAGTTTTATCATTTCAAGGAAACAGCTCTTGGTTTCATTTATCCTTTGTGTTGTGTTTTATTTTTTTTAAATATATTTTTATTGATTTCAGAGAGGAAGGGAGAGTGAGAGATAGAAACATCAGTGATGAGAGAATCATTGATTGGCTGCCTCCTGCATGCCCCCTAATGGGGATTGTGCCCAAAACCCAGGCATGTGCCCTTGACCAGAATCGAACCTGGGACCCTTCAGTCCACAGGCCGATGCTCTATCCACTGAGCAAAGCGGCTAGACGAGAGTGTGTTTTGGATTCTATATATTTATTTCCACTCTGACCTTTGTTATATTCTTTCTTCTACTTACTTTGGGCTTTGTTTGCTGTTCTTTTTCTAGTTCCTTTAAGTGTAAGGTTAGATTATTTTCTGAAGATGTTTTTTGCTTCTTAAAGTAGGCCTAAAATGCTTTGAATTCCTTTTAACTCTGCTTCTGCTGTGTCCCATAGATTTTGAGTTGTTTTCTCATTTTCTTTTTTTTTTTTTTTAAAGTTTTTTCCAGGTGCTCTTTTTATTTTTTATTAATATTTTTTATTGATTTCAGAGAGGAAGGGAGAGGGAGAGGAACATCAATGATGTTATTCATTACTCCACCCCACCCCAAATCCCCTCCTCCTGCTCCCCAGTCCTTCTCTGGAGAACCAGAGTGTGTCTTCGAGTGCCTAGCGATAAGCCTTGCTGCAGCTGGGTGACAGGGGTGGGGCCCTTCTTCCCGCTTCCATCCCCTGGTCCGGCCTTAAAGACTTGGCCTTGATGCCCGGTCCGCCGGGATCTATGCCGTGCCGGGACCCTGCTCTGAGAGCACGCCACAGGAAGAAGTCATCCCTTTCGGATCATTCTCTTAAGTCATTTTATCATGGACTGGTGAGTGTCCACCCCAATAAAAGGATCTTTCCTACTTGAAAAAAAAAAAAATTGGCTACCTCCTGCACGCACCCTACCAGGGATGGAGCCCACAAGCTGGGCACGTACCCTGACCAGGAATCGAACCTGGGACCCTTCAGTCCACAGGCTGATGCTCTATCCACTGAGCAAAACTGGCCAGGGCACTTTTCTCATTTTCATTTGTCTCAAAGTATCTTTGATTTTTTCCACCTTGACTTCATTGCCAACCCACTTATTGTTTAGTAACATGTTATTGAGCTTCCACAAATTTGTGTTTTTCAGGTTTTTTTCTTCTTGTAATTAATTTCCAGTATCATATACCATGGTGATCAGAGAAGATGCCTGATATGAGTTCAATCTCCTTAAATTCATTGAGATTTGTTTTGTATCTTAACATGTTGTGTATACTAGAAAATGTTTCATATGTAGTTGAACAGAATTTATTTTCTGCTGTTTTAGATTAAATGCTTTGAAAATATCGATTAAATCCATCAGGTATAGTATCATGTTTAGGACTTCTGGACTTTGTGTGTCTTTTTTCTTCACCAGGTTTGGGAAATTTTCAGTCATAATTTCTTCAAATAAGTTATCAATCTCTTGCTCTCTTTTTTTCTCATTCTTAGCACCTCACTAGAGGCCCAGTGCATGAAATTCATGCATCAGGGGGTGGGGTCCCTCAGCCCAGCCTGCAATGACGCAAGCGTTCCGTGCCCGGCCTGGCCAGAGGCCCTCTGTGGCCGGGTGCGGAATGCTTGCCTCATCGCTGGGGTGACGATGCAAGCATTCTGCCAGGCTGCTCATGCTCCCCACTCAGTGGCTGCCCCGCCCCCCCAGGACTGGGGGACTCTGGCAGGGTTGAGAGGACTGGCGCCACCATATTTGTGATGGAGTGATGGTTAATTTGCATGTTACCCTTTTATTAGATAGGATGTTGATGTTGTTATACTTTATGTTGTCCCAAATGTTCCTTAAACTAGCTTAATTTCTTATTTTTATTTTTGCTCCTCTGATTGGGTCTTTTCTGCTAGCTAGTCTTTCAAATCACTAATTCAATTTTATGCTTAATCAAACCTAGTTTATTTTTGCAATGTATTCTTTTTTCAGATATTGTATTATTATATGTATTTATTATTTTTTTGGCTAATCCTCACCTGAAGATATTTTTTCCATTGATTTTTAGAGAGAGTGAGAAAGGAGAGCGAGACAGAGAGAGGAAACATCTTTGTGAGAGAGGCACATCAATTGATTGCCTCCTGCATGCACCCTGACAGGGCTGGGGATCGAGCCTATAACCAAGGTATGTGCCCTTGACTGAAATCGAACCCACATCCTTCAATCTGTGGGCCAATGCTCTATCCACTGAGCCAAACTGGTTAGAGTGGATATTGTTTTCTTTATTTTTGTTTCTTTTTTTTTTATGGTATCTATGTCCTTTTACATGCTATTGAAATTCTCATTAAGTTTTTGAGCATCCTTATAACCATTGCTTTGAACTTTCTGGTAGATTGCTTGCTTCCATTACATTTAGTTTTTTTCTGGAGATTTCTTGCTATTTCATTTGGGGCATGTTTCTCAGTCTCCCCATTTTGGCTGCCCCTCTGTGTTGCTGTTGCTGTGTATTAGGTAGATCTGCTAGCCTTACTAGGGTGGACTTACACAGTAGTCATACGGTGGTACCCGGTGACAGTCTCACTGGTCACCTGCACATAGTGCACCAGGAATGTTTGTTGTGTAGGTTACATTTGCCTCCAGCTCTCCAGATCTGTCCCCATCCCGCTCGTTCCCCAAACATCCTCCACCTCACAGATTGTCCTCCTGCCGGTCCGCAGCATTACCCAAGCAAGCCAATCGCATCCTCCTGTGGAGACCAGGGGTTACTCCAGCCGCTGGTCACAAGCCTGCCCCCCGCCCCCACCCCCGAAGCTGTGGTCTGAGAGCATACTTTGTATGACTCCCATCTTTAAAAAACTGTCAAGGTGTTTTATGGCCTAAAAATGTGCCTTTTCTTGAGGAATGTTTTGTAAGCGTGAGGCGTACACTTTAAATAATTTAGGAATGTCAATTTGATGTTCGGTTCAACCATGTTTTTGCTGAGCTCCCGTCTCTCTGCTCACATTGTCCAGCTGTTCTTTCACGTGTCCACTGTCTACGTTAGAGACCTTGGTAGATTAATCCTAGTTGTTTAAATTCCTAGTCTGGTAATTCCAACATCGCTACCCAGTCTATGTCTGATGATTGCTCTGATTTTTTTGTCTTTTAGTACACTGTGTATTTTTTTTGTTAAAAGGTGGACATGATGAACTTACTGGGTAAAAGAAACTGAGGTCAACAGGCCTTCGTGTGACATTTGGGTAGGAGCTAAGACTGTTTTACCATTTGCGATAGCTGTAGGTGTCAGAGGCTAATTCAGTTTATGAAAGAGGTATGCTTTGTATGTTGGATGTGATGAGTTTTGTGACATATAAAGAATTTTACGCCGACTCCTCTATGATGGCTGTATGGTGCTCGAGCTCCCATCAACGGCCACAGGACTGATGTGCAGGACAAGTCCCGGAGGCTGCCTGTCTCTTAGTGGGAGGTTCAGACCTGGAAGTAGCTGTGCAGCCCCTGGCATTTGAAGATCTCCTCAGTGAATTTCTTCCAATTTCAGAGGAAAGCCTCGGAGCCAGGCTGGCTCCCAGGAAGAGCTACTTGTAGACACTGCTGTCTGCCACAGGATGCCTGTCACAGTGTCTGAGGACAAGGACATCCTGGCACTCAGCTCTGAGGCGGTTTGGAGTCAGTGGTGTTTGTAAAAAACTAAGCAGTAAATATAGTGCTCAGTCATAAATGCTAGAGATGGACAGAGAGCACAAGAAGGAAACGTGGGAAAATGGGATGGTAAGCATGATTTTAGCTGACAAAAAAGGCTCAGAAAGGCCAAATGACAGTATGGACCAACAGCTGCTCCTACGTGAAGTTGGCCTTCACATTACTGATATTGGTTGAAGCTGTTTTCCATTTTGGAACTTCTCAGGCACATAAAATACATTTTTAGACAGCTAAATCTAAGACAAGCTTTAGGGAAGACAACATGTAAAACTATACAAAAAACTGTGACAGCAAAAGAAGAATAAAAAAATGTAAAGTGCTGTATTTTTAATATTAACAATTACATTTTCAAAAATGTCATTCACATCTAAAGGTAACAATGCCATAAATCTATAGCTGACAGTAGGAAATATAAGTGTAAATAGCCTATGTACACTTTGCATTATTTATTGATATAATTTTATATACATAACCCTATACAATATCCAATAAGCTTCAGAGAAAACACCTACAAACCCACTTGTCTAGACAGTAGAGAACAGTTTTTAAAAAAGAGACAAAAACAAATGATCCTTATTTCTCAGCTGCATGTGCTGGAGCTGTACAGGTATGGAGCTGAAGTCCGAGGCGTTTATCACACGAAGATGTTTAACTCTGCTCCATGCCAGCCATGAGGGACAGTGCTAGAGACTCCACTGTGGGAAGAATAAAGTTTAAAAAATCGGTTTAATTTTTTGAAAATGTATGAGTAAGGCTTTAATCAATTCAAAACTGAAAAGTATTTAAAAACATTTTCCATTTTTATAATTTTATTGATTTCAGAGAGGAAGGAAAAGGGAGAGAGAGATAGAAACATTAACAATGAGAATTATTTATTGGCTGCCTCCTGCACACCCCCTACTGGGGACTGAGTCTGCAATCCAGGCATATGCTCTAGACCTGAATAGAACCCAGGCCCCTTCAGTCCGCAGGCTGACACTATCCACTGAACCAAACCTGCTAGGGCCACATTTTCCATTTTTAATTAAAATGGTGATTATTTGTAATGTATAATAAAGATGATAATCTTCATTTATTAAATACAAATTGAAAAAGTATGATTTATTTCTATTCACTTCATTTGAATTTTGAAAACAAAAAAATCTGACCTTTCACGAAATAAATCGTATTTGTTCAACGTGTCAGAAACTCTGGAGTCTGGTCATAACAAAAGGCCAAGTTCTAACCTACAATCACCCAATTAAAAAATGAACAAATGGCCCAGCCTGCGTGGCTCAGTGGCTGAGCATTGACCTATGAACCAGGAGGTCATGGTTCAATTCCCAGTCAGGGCACAGGCCAGGGTTGTGGGCTTGATCCCAGTGTGGGCGTGCAGGAGGCAGTGATCAGTGATTCTCATCACTGATGTTTCTGTCTCTGCCTCAGTTCCTCTTTGAGATAAATAAAAATGTATTTAAAGAAAATGGACAAATGCATCAATATTTCTCACATAGTGTTTTACAGAACATTCAGCTGTTCTTTTAAAAAATATACTAAATTGTGCAGATATTTCAAAGATTAAGACATTCCTTTTTTTAAAAAAAATTATCCTTACTGATTTCAGAGAGGGAGGAAGAGAAATATCGATGAGAATCATTGCTCGGCTGCCTCTTGCACGCCCCCTACTGGGGATCAAGCTCATAACTCGGGCATGTGCCCTGACCGGGAATCAAACCATGACCTCCTGGTTCATAGGTTGACGCTCAACCACTGAGCCCCACGGGCCAGGCAATTCAGCTATTCTTAGTGAATGGATCACAATTTTTTAAAAATTGTTTTATTGCTTAAAGTATTACAAAGAGTATTATATATGTCTCCTTTTATTTTCTCCCCTTGACCCTCCCTTAGCCTCCCATGCCCCCCAGTGTCTTATATCCATTAGTTATGCTCGTATGCATGCATACAAACCCTTCGGTTGATTTTTTACCCCCCATCCCTCCCACCCCCAACCCTCCCCAGCCTTCCCACTGTAGTTTTGGATCACAATTTGAATGTGCAGACACAGGGAAGAGATTAACCCTGCATATTTTCCCCCAAAAGCTGTGCAAATAAATATGACTTAGTCCTTTGTTTCTGCAAATTAAGCATCACTCTCCTCCCTGACTCACCCTACAGACTTCTGCCTGCTTCTGTGTTTGTCAGGAGTTTTAAAATTGTTAAAGAAACCCTCCCCCACCTTTTGAAAAGGAATAGTTACAAAAGCTGCACATGATAGTTGCTGAGCCCAGCCGGTGTGGCTCAGTGGTTGAGCATCAACTTATGAACCAGGAGGTCATGGTTTGATTCCCGGTCAGGGCACATGCCTGGGTTGCGAGCTTGATCCCCAGTGAAGGGTGTGCAGGAAGCAGCCAATCAATGATTCTCTCTCATCATTGATGTTTCTATCTCTCTTTCTCCCTTCCTCTCTGAAATCAAGAAAAATATATTTAAAAAAGGAAAGTGTGACTGAAATCTATTTTGCCTTCTGCTTTTCTAAGCAATAGTTTCAGAATCCACTGGTGTACCAAATGACATACTAGAAAGCAAACTTTACTAACCTTGTTTTATCTTTGATATTCATTCATCCCACAGTAATTCTGAAAATAAAACAAAACTAACACACACACACACACACACACACACACAACACAATTCAAAGCACGACCCAGCTGCTGCTGGACTTTCCAGGTTTGAAATTCGTCACGAGATCAGTACCACAATAGGAACATGGAGCCTTTGTACAGGAAACAGAAAAGCAGTCAGATTTTAGCATGTGTACTCACGATGGGGAAAGGACCCTCTACAGACGGCTTTGTTTAAAATGGTGACAAGAAACATATGGCAGTTTTTAAAATCAGACTCCATTTTCTCTATAGATTCCATCCTAGGAAAGAAAGTACATTTCAACTTAAGTAGTGCATCTGGAATAATTTCAAAAGTACCTCAGTTTAATTATTTAGAATCCTAAGTACAAAGACTATAAAATAAAATATAAATTCCTTGCCTCACTTTTTAAAGAATATTTTTACTTTTTTTGGCCATTTAATCCTTTTTTATTTTTCAATTACAGTTGAGATACAATGCTGTATGTTTCAGATGTACAACCCAGCGATTAGACATTTCAGAACTTACTAAGTGGCCATCCCAATAAGTCTTGTACCATCTGACATGACACCTGGAATACTGACTGTACTCCCTATGCGGTCCATCACTCCCCACAATTCTTCAACCCATTCGTACTTCTTCATCCAGTCCCCCAACCCCATCAAGCAACTGTCAAAATGTTCTGTTTCTATGAGTCTGTTTCTGTTCCACTTGTTCGTTTGATTTTTAGATTCAATTGTTGATATGTATTTATTGTCATTTTATTGTTCACATTTTTAGCCTATTTTTTCTTATCCTCCTTAAAGAAGACCCTTTCATATTTCATATAATACTAGTTTGATAGTGATTAACTCCTTTAGCTTTTTCTTGTCTGGGAAGCTCTTTATCTGTCCTTCAATTCTGAAATTGCTGAATAATCTTGGTTTTAGGTCCTGCTTTCCATCACCTTGCATATTTTCTGCCACTCCCTTTGGCCTGAAAAGTTTCTGTTGAGAAATTAATCAACAATCGCATGGGTGCTCCCTTGTAGGTAACTAATTGCTTTTCTTTGCTTTTAAGATTGTCTTTAATTAAATGTCTTTGGCATTTTAATTATGATGTGTCTTGGTGTGGGCCTCTGGGTTTGTCGCGTTTGGGACTCTCTGTGCTTTCTGGGCTTGTGTGTCTATTTCCTTTACCAGGTTAGGGAAGTTTCCTATATTTTTAAATAGGTTTTCAATTTCTTGCTCTCTCTTCTCCATACGGCATCCACATGATGCAAATGTTGGTATGCTTGAAGTTGTCCCAAAGGCTCCTTATACTATCTTCATTTTTTTTTTAACTCCGTTTTCTTTCTGCTTTTCTGATTGGGTGTTTGTTTTGCTTCCTTAATTCCAATTCACTGATTTGATTCTCAGCTTCATCTACTCTGCTGACTCCTCTAAATTATTCGTTTCCGTGAGTGTGTGCTTCATCTCTGATTGGTTCCTTTTATGGTTTCTATGACCTATTTTCATGCCGTTGAAGTCCTCACTGAGTTCCTTGAGCATTCTTATAACCATAGTTTGCTTGCCTGCATTTCATTTAGTTTTTTTTCAGGAGCTTTCTCCTGTTTTTTCATTTGGGACATGTTTCTTTGTCTCTGCATTTTGGCTGCTTCCCTGTGTTTGTTTCTATGTATTGGGTAGAGTTGCTATGTCTCCTGAAATTGGTAGAGTGGCCTTGTGTAGTAGGTGTCCTGTAGGACACAGTGGCTCAGCCTCCCCTGTCACCTGAGCTGGGCACTCCAGGTGCGCACCTGTATGCACTGCCTTGTTGTAGTTGAGCTTTAATTGCTGTTGGTGTCACTGGAGTAGACTGACACCCAGGCCCAATTGGCTGTGAGAACCAGCTGTGACTACAGTGGAGCAGTTGCTGTGTAGGAGACACCCTTATAGAGCATGACTTGCTTCAGTGGGGCTTTGGTGCGTACTGAATCTGCACCTTGAATGTCGCTCATGGAGATGGTAGTGTTGTAATCTGGCGTGGTCTGAAGCTGTTGACTAGGTGCACTGGCTCTGGGACCTCCCAGGAACTGCAAGGTCAGTCACCACCTATGCCCTACCTGGGGTCACCTGGCAGGAGCGACAGAGCAATCTGCAGATGGCTGCCATTTGTGCTGAGTTTCAAGGTGCCCAGGAGAGGCCAAGGTGCAAACCAAGGCCGGCTGCCAGAAGTGCTGGGCCTGGGGCCACTGAACGAGAGGTACGGGGCATGCTGAGCCCAAATGCTGCTTGTTTGCAATTTGTGAACCTTTGAGAAATTTCAATAAAGTCTGCAGCAGGAGCCAAGACTGATAGGTAGTATGAAAAAGCCACTGGAGCCCTTGCCTGTTTGGCTCAATGAATAGAGTGTCGGCCTTTGGACTGAAGAGCCCCAAGTTCAATTTAGGTTAAGGGCAAATACCTCAGTTGCAGTCTCAATCCCTGGCCCTGGTCGGGGCACATGCAGGAGGCAACCAATCGATGTGCGATGTGTCTTTCACATCAATGTTTCTCTCTCTCTGTCTCTTCCCCTTCCTTCTACGATCTCTAAAAACCAATGGAAAAATAGCTTTGGGTGAGGATTAACAAAAAAGAAAAGCCACTGGAAACAGCTTAGATGGGCCCAGAAATTGGGTGGGGTCTCAGGGAATCACCAGGGTGGGGGAAACATGAGCCAGGTTGATGGAGAGTCAGACATGGTGCCCCTCTGTGGGCTCTGTTGGGGAGGGGGGGGATCAGAAAAGGAACAATGGCTTCTACCAGAACTTCTGTCTGGCAGAGAGCTGCCCCTCTAGCTCTCGCCCTGCTGCCAGACAATTTAGTTCCTCACTGGTGCTTTTCAAGCTGTGGTGTTAGGCAGCGAGTCTAAGTCCATGCGGGGGCTCTTTAAGAGGAACTTCCTGGGAACCCAGCAGCCTCTGTCTCACAGCCACACTCCCTGGTCTTTACAGCTGGAGGTTATGGGGGTTCTTCTTCCCTGGGCTGTGGAGCCGGGTGTGGGGCTGGGAATCCTGGGTCCACAGGGGAGGATGGGGGCGGGGGCCTCAGCAGCCGAAGAATCCCTCCTGATATATCTGCCACCATGTGTGTGGGGCCAGCCTGTTCTGGGTCTCTGCCCCTCCTACCAGCCTCAATGTGGCTTCTTCTTTAAATCCTGAGTTGTAGGGCTTCCATTCAGCTATATTTTAAGCAGTTCTGAATGATGGCTCTTCTGTAGTTTAGTTGTAATTTTGATGTGGTTGTGGGAGGGTTCGAATAACGCATTTACCTATGCTGCCATCTTGAGAGGAACTCTTCCTGACCTTCTTTAAAATAAAACTCCCAAATAGTTGAAGGTGAGTGTCATTTCTACATAAATCATGTTGCTGTTGTTTTTAAAAAATATATTTTATTGATTTTACAGAGAGGAAGGGAGAGGGATAGAGAGTTAGAAACACTGATGAGAGAAACATCAATCAGCTGCCTCCTGCATGGCCCCTACTGGGGATCGAGCCTGCAACCAAGGTACATGCCCTTGATCAGAACTGAACCTGGGGCCCTTCAGTCCCTGGACTGATGCTCATCCACTGAGCCAAACCAGTTAGGGTACGTTGTTTTTTAAATATGTTTTTATTGACTTCAGAGAGGAAGGGAGAGGGAAAAAGACTCAATGTTGAGAGAGAATCATTGATCAGCTGCCTCCTGCACGCCCCCAACTAGGGATGGAGCCTGCAACCCAGGCATGTACTCTGACCAGGAACTGAACTCGTGACCTCCAGGTTCATGGATCGATGCTCAAGCACTGAGCCACTCCTGCCGGGCTCGACATAAATCATGTTTCAGGATAGTACTACCGAGTTCTAGATCTGGGGTCACAGGAAATTCCTTTCCCTATTATTCACTTCTGTATTTTTACTTTTCACAAGCATATCTTCCTTTTGAAATAACACATTAAAGATATAAAACCCTAAATTTAAAAATGATTTAACAACTTCAGAGCAGAAACCACCTAGAGACTGGAAGGGTGGGGTCAAGAGAGGGGCTGGCCCAGCTCCCAGGAGAGGTAGGCCAAAGGTGAGGAGGGTTGTCTTGGCTGCCAGGGGCTCCCCCTGAGAGGAGAAAGGCCTGGACTCCAGGCTGGGCTCCCCAGCAGGGGCAGCCAAAGCTGGGAACGGCCATCTATGCTGCATCCCGCAGCAGGGCTTCTATCTGCTCGGGAGAGCTGAGTCTCCTGGAGACAATGCAACTTCTTGCAAGGGCTGGCACACAGGATTTTTCGTTCCCAGACACTCGCCCTAGGTTTTGGTGGAGCGAGGGCAATGTGGACTGGAGTTGCCTGAGGAGAGACTGGGGTGGAAGGAATTGGGGAGAGTCATGGGGGATTGGGATACCTGTGCTGGGTCACAGCAAACATTTTTCCTGAGAGATGCAACCCCCCCATCCCCTCCCAACAGCAGAAGTCTGAGGAAAGGCAAATGTCCCACCCTAAGAAATCCAGCTCATCCCGCTTTCTCAAGTCCAGCTTGTCCCACCCTGCATCTTAACCCCTGCTGAGGAGGCACCAGGCTCAGGGAGCAACAGTGACTGGCTTTGGGGTGGGGCTATTGCCCCCACACTCCTGGAACCTGGCTGATGCTTCCCTCTCACAGGAGAGCTGAGAGAAACTCCTGGCTTCTGGAAGATCTCCCAGGCCTGGCTAAGAGGCTCCACCCTGCTGCAGTAGGGAAATATTCCAGGACAGACTCAGATGGTGGGAACACACCCACCATCTTCTCTGAAGTCTGAATATGTGCTGACCCACCACTGACTTCGTGCTGCTAAAATAGGAGCTCAGCTTGGCCCTTCCTGAGGGCAGACAAGCCCAGTGGAGGCAGCAACATGCTGTGGATTGCATCACACTTTGAACAGGATGCTGAGACCCAAATGTTGACAGCTTCTGACATTGGCTAGCACAAAAGTACCTCCCAGGAGGCCTGAAATTGGCATACAAAACAGCCTTACACAACATTAGGGCAGGATCTAAAGGGAAATCCTAGCAGGCACTAAAGTCTACTGGGATGAACTCCAATTATTATTTTTTTTATTTTTCATTATTTTCTCATTTTTAATGCTTTGGTGTTATTATTCTACTAGAGGCCCATTGCACAAAATTCATGCACTGGGGGGGGGGGGGGAGGGTGGCCTCAGCCAGGTCTGCGTCCTCTCGCAGTCCAGGAGCCCTCCTGGGATGTCCAACTGATGTCTTAGGCCTGCTCCCTGCCTAAGCTGTGAGTCAGACATCCTTAGCGCTTCCGCGGAG